TCAACTTGGCGCCAATGTTCTGTGTACCAGCAAGTGGTGGATTGAAAATACATGCGATAAGCTAATCATAGCCACAAATCCAGCTTAGATCGTCCAGCGTTTCAGTCTCAAAAGGTCTTGCTTAAAATAACAAGTACAAAGAGAACTATGTCGACATGGCACGGCTCCAAATCAGTCCGCATCAAATCGGATATGTCAAGCGCTGCTCATCCCGCAAATAGATGGTCAGGCGGAACACGTAACCCGAATTATAATGAAAAGCCGCCGAAGTACTTGCGCGTAGTGACGTGGTGCTGTAGCGATTTTCTCACACTTACTTAGTTTTCGTTGATTAACGCAGCACACACCCTACAAAAATTACCTCATCTGACATAAATCACCTGTAAGCCCGTGGGTGCCTTAACAACCATCTCAAAGTGTCTTTCTCTTGATTTGATGGAGCGAAGCGATCGTGTATTGCGGTCCCAGAGTGAATATCTGCTTAGCGATGTTCTGTCGCAGTCTATTCATCGTGGTACTTCACAATGGCACTTAGCTTTTAAACTTTCAGCTTTGCTTTGATCCCAGAGGGCAGTATTGTTCCTCAGAACGCCCCCCCCCCGTCACATTGTACACATACGCTCTATGGAAGAAAGGTTTGCAAGGATCTTGAAGAGAATGTTTGCCATGATTTCTTAGCTGGTATTGCTTTGATCTCGCTTTCATTAGTCTTAACTCGCTCGACAACCACAAAAATGACAACACTATTATACAGTAAGTGGCGAGTGTAGATACCCCATATCGTCTCCTGCTTGTGCGTTGTTCATCATTGCTCGCTAGTCTGAGGAGCATGCAAGTTTAAATAACCGGCCGACTCATATCTACGGTAGCATTCAGATACCTTAAAATCAGGTCCTAGTTGACCAAACCAGTCGCTTTTGGTCGACTACGATCTGACTTCAAGGTAAAGTTAAAATTATCTTTGGTGAGAACTGTCAATCGGCCAAAGAAATCGTTTCAAGAAACAATATTTCATGATTTAGATGTTACATCATCAAAATTCCTCGGTTGATTGATGAGGTGGTTACAGTATAGATGCTACCTTAACTTTAGCAAGAAATGCCGATCGGTCAGAAATCTCTTTTTTAAGAAACAATATTCCATGGTTTCGATCTTTCAAACTTCCTCGTTGGATCAGTTAGGTGGTTACAGCTGGACTTTACATCGAAAGTCCGGTCAGTGGCAATGATTCAGTTGCGGGGCACGTTCTCGTCACTTGAGTCGTGACAAGCTAATACGGTGCCCCCGACAAGCCACACGGCGTAAATAAGGACGCTTGTATGGTGCAATATAGCAGAAGGGGTACAAATGAGGTTCCTCTCATAGCAAGCACCCGAAAATCGTCACAGTCTTAAATTGATATAACAAATCTAACCCTAAGCCTATCAAAATCATATATACATATATACGTCTACATTTGAATTATTTGTTCCACTGGAAATCTTAGCCCCCGACTCGCCGCCTCTTAATGAAACGCTGCTGTGGGATTTGAATGAGTGAGGCAAACAAATGTCGACAGCAAATAAATGGGTCTTCAAAAACTGTCGTTTTTGGCCATAGACTACTTACTGTAACATGGAAGATGCTTCGCAAGCAACACGTAGGACGCTGTCAGAGGCAAATCAGCAAATTTAGCACTGTCTGACGGTGGGAGCTGAGCAATCGACAAGCTCGATCTGCGTGGAACAGTTTGGAAGACATGGTGAGCTATCTGTCGCAAGCCGTATGTATTGAGCAACATGTGAGATGGCAGGTAAATCAGGAGCATTGCCATGACGACATTGGCGGTGTCTGAAGAGCAATCAACCCTAATTGGATCTGTGGAATTTCTTCCGCCTTCTGAATCCTAAGTCATCTATCGGTGGAAAAAAGACTATTTAATTATCTTATCTTACAAACTATAAGTATAAATAATTCTAAAACACTGATTATAGGCGTTTCACTCCTTGAAGTTCGGACGTTCAAATGGAAGGACCTTTTGTATTGTCCATTATTGATTGGCTGACCCAGAAACCATAAGAGATTCGTGGATGTACATGATCCAGTCACAGGCTGCCTCAGCGCATGCGTGGTTGAAGCAATCCCACAACCCTGGTCGTGCGTTTGAGCTGCAGTACAAACTCTGGCCTCCATTAACCTTCGCCGAAAACTGTGTCTCCTCCAGCACACTACAATAGCTTATTAAGCGCATTAGAGTTTGCGCTCCACAGTGCACTTTTTACAACTTATGCGACGACGAAAAGAATCAATCGACACACAATGCACATGCTATATAGCGATAGCCAGGGCAGTGTTGGGTTTTCCTGAAAAACAGGTTTTCACATGATGCTAATGCTTAAATATGTAATTGATGAGGAATTCGCAAAGTGAGCGCAGTGCTATCGCTTCTAAGTCCAGAGGCCATGCAATACTGTACAAGCCCCCCAAAAGTACGCTTTCTTAAATTATGTGAGTTTTACATGTAATACCGGTATGCGCCCCGTCGCTCCTTCAACTGACCCGACTGTTTCGCGATCAAGCCAGCCGTCGCCATTCGCTGGACTGTAAGTGGCAATTCAATGCTCAGTCACAAAATTCCTTGGTCGCATTGAAAGCAATTAAAGCTGAAGGTTCAATCGCTGCCGCTACTCTCGTCCACGTCCTCTGTTTGGAAGCAGCTGCTGACCACATCTGGTTCCAGTATAATATTACATTGTTCATGAAGCGCAATTTTGGTTCGCTTAATCTTGCAGCGCTGGGTGCAAACAGTGCCGAATGCAATTTGGCTGATCGATTTTCGGCCATGGACCCTAGTGCAGAGAGTTTCAGTATGGTCACTAGCGGTTCAGATTGCAGTAGCGACGAAAATGTGGGTTTATCTTTGGAGCGTCTGGATCAGCCGCGCAACAACTTTCATTCGGCACGGCGCATCGAAGACTTGGATTTAAGCGATGCAATACCTGAAATTACACTCAACTCTCCCGATCGATCATTTACCCAGCCAATCAGTCAGCCTTCTGTTTCTCAGAAGACTCATTTGAAGCATTCATCAGTGAAAGATTCCCCGCAGCACCTGCACGACGTAGAGTTGAACGCGATGAGATGTATAAGTCTCAAAATGATGCTGTCTAATCTCTCCAGCCCAACCAGCAGTGACAACCTTCCAGTATCGCCCACAAATCCAAGCTACTCATATTCTGGCGTGAACGAGCACACCAAGACGGCGCTATTGCCGGCTCGCCATCCTTCATTACAAAGCGTCTAAAAACTCAACCTCATCTTGGATTTCCTTAATTTACCCTAACGTAATAAGTACTAGGCAACATTGTACGAAAGATAAAGGCCTTGCATCTGCTGTGCAGCCTTCTATTTAATAGAAAGAATACTAGCTAAATTCAGAATTGAAAGCAGCAATAATCATAAAATCTATTTATCTGGGTCGGACTTCCCATGATCTCACCGGAATTTCCGTGATTAACATTAAATACTCCAAATTACTTGACAAACACTGTTTCCAGTATGGAATTACGATGGACAAAAGGCAGTATGTGCAAATATGCCTGTGTTTTGTTGTCAAATTGAAGAGCTTCCTCCTTCTGCTGTCTCCTCCGTACTGCAACGACATAGACGAAAGAGGGAACGCAAGACAGCTCTCGCAGGTGGTAATTGAATACTCGAGGGTCTTTCTCAGATCGAACTTTATGCTTCTCAGCATACCGGATAAATCTCTTCAATAATCATGAACAAAACTGCGTCGTGCTTGTACTTATCTGCGTAAGCTTTGTGACATGAACAGACGAACCTGTGCATTGTTGAGAGAAAGATTGGCTGCGAATCACAGCCGTTGGCTCGAACGCGTCCACAAGGCAGACACTGGACAGTGAAAAATGTTTATGCTTGTCTGTTACGCAACAGCAGAGATACGAGAAAACACGAGGTGGTAAGGAACCCACAACTATCTTTTTCTTATAGACTTAGTATAATATGCGTTTATGAAAATCATATGCCAGGATAATGATTAGCGTTTCTATATATACCGTGCTAGATGCTGCCGGAGTACCTACTAGTAGTCCTCATACCCAACAACCCTAAAGCTTCTTCCGCGACCATAATCTCTAAAAATAAAGCAAGAAAACTCTTTTGAGTGTCTTCATTTTAACAAAGATGTAAGTAGCTTTTATAAACGCATGCAAATTCAATTTAGAACCGCTCGCTGTTGCTTTTCTTAACCGAACCTCAGAAGTAAGAAGGCGAAATACTTGTATTGTTTCAATGCTTTGTATGCTCACCCCCAGGTCTAAAATTTGCAGCTTTTCAAAAATGTACTTTCTTCTGAACAAATCTTATGGGTTTATTTTTGCTGGAATTCGGACGTTTTATGCAGCAAATGATTGCACCGTCACACTGTGTATACTATGGTACCGGTAATTATCGCCTTTAGGGTTCAGAAAAGGTTTTGTTCAATTTCTGCACAAATTATTTGTACTGTACCGTGAAACCCGAGTATGATCAATTATATCTATCTATTATAAGAGGGGTTACAATACAACAGCGACGGGAATGCCCAACAACATCGTGCCACGCAATACATTCGTGCAATGCATTGCTACGCCTCATTCTTTGCGATAGCTCTAAGTCTGCATCTTAAATGCATGGAGATCACAATGGATCGACTGCCTACCATCATCACAAAATTCTGAAACCTTCATATGAAACCACATTTTTACCGGTATTTCCAATGCAACCAACAAGAAAGCTAATTTTCAAGTCACTTAAATTACTCCTTTAAATGCTGTACATTTGCACTTAAATTTTCCAGCAAAATTTTCGTATCGTCGATCAACTGCGTCTCCGCCCGAAGAACATCGTAGCATATTTTTTTCTTTTCGCTTGTGATCCCAGAAGAGCTAGCACCACCAAGAGAATTCCAGTACGGACGGGAAGAGGATGCGGAAAGTGTTTTGGTCTCAAGCGATCGCACAGCGCGCTGGCACTCCACAGTCAACTCTGCTACTCGAGGCTTGAGGCGACGTACTTCTATCGCCATCCGATCTAATTCACTCTTGAATTCACGCTCTGCACGAGATAGTCGGGGTTGATTCTCTTTCACTGCCTGAAGAACTGCAGCGGCACGCTTACTTAAATTTTTCTGCACAACTAATGCGCGTTCCATCTTGTCCTCAAGCTTCTTCATCATCAAACGAGCCTCATCCACATTCTTCTGTACTACGACAACTTTTTCGCTCTGTGTTTGAACCATCGTCGTAAGTAAATGGAGACGATCGCGTATCAGCTGATCCATCTCGTCGACATACTCCACGTCTTCATACAAAACTTTAATTCTCTCAATGACAAACGCAACCACAGCGTCATCCACCTCATGCATCAGCGTTTTACCTGTGACTCTCGTGCCACGGGCACTAAGAATCTCTAACTTCTCCTCAACAATCTCTCCAAATGAGCGTACATCACCTACCGTCGAGTTGCTACTGGAAGCTGTGAGAGGTCCTCGCGATGCCATTGAAGCTAATGTGTCGGGCAACGTCTTTCGAAAATTAAGATCATCCGGACTGTTCACGAATACCCCCTTAAGCAATTCACTCGATGCGGCACTAATATTGATGACTTCGAAGTTGCCAGATGCAAGCCTTAGTAGTAGTAAGTGTCCGAAGTCCACATTCTTCACAACCCGGGCGCCAACAATATTTGACACCGCAGTGTGAGTAGTTGATAAAGAAGACGATGAGCCAGGGGATACGCTAAAAATCGGACGAACAGAGCTTTTTGGTAGCGTTGTAAATTGCTTGCCTGAGGCCAGAGCAAATACCCAGCTCACATTAATCACATGCACGCCAGTTGAGTGCAGACAGTAGACTAATCGCGGGTCAGCATCGTCACGTTCAAGTACAGCCTTGCCTCCAATATTGTCTATACCAATGTTCAGACACTCAAGCAGTAGTGCCGGATATTTGCGCACGGCATTGGCAGCTGCAGGTTGACGACTACTTCGCCACTGTGGCCTGATGGGAGCATCTAGCAAAATAAGCTCAACGTGACCCGATGTGAATGTGCGCATCAAGAACGGAGACATGCTTGCAGCGCGTTTTTCGACTATGTTGCGCGAGGCCAACGGCACTGAAAGTAGCGACGCCGCGGACGTTTTTTCCAGCTTTTGGTTTTTGCGCTCCACATTCGACTGAGGAAAGACCTCGACAGGTCCCTGTAAAGCGAGCGGCCACGTATCAGGCGATATGCCGCTCATATGAGGACCTAAGAAGCAGAAGATTTCCGCAAACGCATTGTCATACTTACGTACACCGGAGCGAGAACTGTTGCGCCGCACCTGAGCCGACACCGGTGCCCACCCTTCCTGCAGCCAATACTTTTGCGACTTGAGCTCGGCAAGCCGGGTTTGCATTCCAACAACACTTCCAGCAGTTTCTACTTTCTGCTTGCACAAAGCGATCTGTGCGTCTACTTCTGTACCTAAATCTTGAAGGAATGCCTTACTGACACAACATTCATAGGGCACCAAAGGGCAGAGTGCGTACACAGCGCCATCCGACCGCAACACGTAACACGTAAAAGCGTCCCAAAGCTGTGGCCTCTGCATTTGCACTGACTGCTGATGCTGAAGCTGAATTGAAGCACCAAAGCAGAAACATGATGAAAATGCCCCTGCCACACGAGCCTTCGCGGGAAAATCTAGTCGATGGCGTTGCTCAGCCTTGGATACGTCCTGTTGCGTGTTAAACACTTCGATCTCCTCTGCATCGGACATAACAATGATATGCGTGTCGCTTAGCGGGTGCCACGCAGCGTGTCGGATTTTACCAAAGTAGCCCACACTTCTTACAGCTACCACAGACACTTCGCGCGACACAAAAGCCACGCGCTTGCTTCCTGCCGACACGTGCTGCTTGACCTGCTCAGTGATATTTTCCTGATCCTTCACTCCATTCTTTTTAAGCGTGATTTCCTGCTCGCTGTCATCTTCAAATCTTACAATAAGTCGTTGGCTAGCATTCTCTGTCTCGCGTCGTCGACTCGATTGCTTATACTCGTTCTTAGCGGGAAGCCGTACAACCTTAAGCCAACTCTTGGCCACCAGCAAAGCTTGAGAGCCACTAGCATTGAGCTTGATTTGCTCTACTTCTGCAGCTTCGTGAGGTTGCAGCGGTGGATCGAGAGTCACGTGTTTCAGTATCTGATCCTTAAATGGTTTGGCTTGTTTGCTCTGGTGGAGCACTTTCACGAGGAAGATCTTACCGCTATCGCTCCAGAGTGCTGCGCCACCGTCACATACGTCAAAAGTCTGCAAATGAGCAGCTGTACGCAGATCTGCATACGTGGGGGGAGACACAGACCCACACAACTGTAAATTGGTGCGCAGCGCCCAGTCGTCGGTGTTGGCTTGCATGATTTCTGGATTTTCGGGTGGTTCACACACTAGTAATATAAATCGAAAGTCACAAAATAAATGATCAATATTACGCTGCAGTCACCTTTGCTATATATAGTGGTGAGGTACAAAGCTCTAGAGTTGACTTCGAGCCTCACGATGACTTTTGCCGCTCGGCAATTTGTTTAGGAAGAAATTACTGAATATATTATTGTACGGGCGTGCAGGATAGACCATTTAGCTTATTGTGTAATCCCCCCAGAGACGACTATTGAATAAAGTGGCGAGAGTAGCTCTGCAAATGCCATTACAAAACTGCAGTTAAGCATATTGCGGCAGCCATCGCAAGCTTGTTCTCATCGGGAGTTTGGAGCTTATATGTGCCCGTTTGCCTAAATGCAGCGGGGCTGCCGTAGCTTTGCGCTTAAACGAAGCGTGAGTTAGGTCACCGACCTTTCGTTCTATACTTAAGAAAGAACGAGTTTAGCGCATCGCAATCCGCTAAATCCAAGAGTAATTACAACCTTAACTCTTCCATTTAAATTTGAAGTAACTTTTTATTTCTATCTGCGGCGAAGCCACCTATTTTGAAATGCATAGATTTTCCTTAATATGTATAGTAAAATCAAAATACATGTATAACTACAAGCTATCCAGCCCCGTACCGCATTCTTGTTTAAGTGTGGTCACACCAAGCCCATCCGGTGTGACACACACCCCTGTTACCAGAGAATGTGCAACCCCGTTACACAAAAATTGCGTCTTGCTCAATTGAACGAAAATGTCGTCAAAGTATCTCTGTGCATACGCCCGCGGGGCCTGAACAACAGCGTCACAAGACGATTGAATGTTGCTGGTGTATTTGACAGCCCTTGGGTTATCACCAGCCACTCCCAGAGCATGCCGCTCAGAGTGATCACCGCTGCCAGCGGAAAATCACTCGCTCTCATGAGCGATTAATAATACCCATCGACCAAGTTGAGTGTACTGTACTTCGTACATCCCACCATGTTGGTCTGAAGAACATCCTTTCAAGGAATCGGCGTCTGTGCCGGAATGGTAGCAGCGTTGAGCTTAAGCATGAACGATACGCCACTTGCCGTTCGGCTTCCGAACACAAAAACGTGGATGTCGAATGGGGAGACTTACTCTCACGTACCATCCCTGCGTCGTGCTTCGCACGAAAAAATGCGTCAATGAATTCGCACTGCTCCTTGGGCAGGGTCCATTGGCGTGTTACGCAGTATTTGGTTCCTGAAACCAGGTCGATCTCATGACGCACACCTCGGTCCAGGAGTAGGACTGAAGGCGGGTCTTTGGAGACGACGTCTTGAAATTCCTTTACCATAGGATAGTACGGATTCAAGGGATTCCGTTGGCGACGATCCGCTTCGTGCGTTCAGCACTCTCTTGGTGTCCTCCAAGACAGCTTCATCCAGAAGCGATG